ACACTCTGATCTTCAGGCAAGCTTTATTTGTTAAAGCACAAACAAAATATCACCACACCTCTCAGTAATAAAGGCCATATGTGAACCTCTCAATAATAAAGGCAATATATAAAAAGACATGGCTAACATCAGACTCAACAGTGAAGAGTTGAAATCTTTTCCTTTAAGATTGAGAATAAAACAAATATGCCCACTCTTCACCACTGCAACCAAGATAATCATAGAGTCCCTCACCATAGCAGATCGATAGATGTGAGAGATACAGACAGTAAAAGAAAAAACAACTGTTTGCATATGACATTGCACATATATAAAACCCTAAGGACTGTGCTTAACCACACACACAAATATACCTCACCTCTATAGTTAATAAATGTATTTTTAAGTTGCAAGGTATAAAATCAAATAGAAAAAGATCAGCCATATTTCTCTACATAACATGAAACTAAAGAAATTAAGAAAATAATCTTATTCATAAGAGAAAAGGAAGAAATAAAGGTAGGAATAAGTGTAAGCAGAATTGAAAGACTTAAACACAGAAAATTATGAACATCCTACTTTTCCTGAAATAATATTCTACCAAACTTGTTTGGAAGTCAGTTGTGGCTTTCTCATGGTTCAGACTTGACCAATTTAGCCATCTGATTACAATATTCTACATATATTATATTCTCCCACTATCAGGTATAAAGTCTGCTTTGCCCCCCATAATCCATTTTGTCCGCGTTACTTAGCTCTAATTATCAACGTTACCTCCTATAGAACTTGGCTTAATCAAGGGGCCCCATTAAAGACAACTGGACAAGGACTACAGCAATCCCATCAACCAGCAGCAAACAGTTCCTTCCAGTCTTGTTTCTGAATTTTCTGAGTGACCTCAGAAAATTGTCATTTATTTTATTCTCATTCTTTATATGTTAGCAAGATCAGTTTAAATAATAATAGTCTATGCCTCATTTGGTTAACATTAAAAGGATTTCACATTTTCCCCCTTGAAACATTTTCTTGTTACTAAATAAAATAAGAAGAATATTAAAGAATAAAAAGAAATGTAGTCCTTAACTACAGCCTCTGTAGTTAAGGTTCAAAATCAGTAATTTCAATTTAAAACTGTTTCTTACTGCTTCCAAAGCGAAGAGTATACATGAATAACAAAAAGCTTCAATATTTTGTAAATAAATTCAATGGCAAATAATTCATGTTTCTACACCTTCATTTTTTATTTATAATAAATCAAGACACACATACATGTAAACTTGAGACCCCTTAAAAAACTCATTTGGATACTATGCAATAACATGTCCTGTAAAAGAAATAGATAGAAGCTAAGAGAAGAATATGTGGCAGTTTATAAAACATGTGTCAAAATCACCTTTACCCTGACAGTTGAGATGATTTAAATCCACCCCACACCTCATACCTGTCTCTCTGCTTTAATCTCTACGTTGATTTTTGATCAAATAGCCTCAAGACTTGAGATAATAAAAATCACACCATAGGAAACACAAATCATCCTCCTTGCTTGCTGTCTGGTAGCTGCTTTAGATTTATCTTTTTATTTAATTGGAAAAAAAGAATTAAATCAAAGCATACAATCAATGCTTGTCATCTTCCATCAATTATAATTTTTGCTAATGGATATAAAATCCAGTTGTTATTCTTTTACTCTGTCAATTAGATGTCAAAAACTATTTTGCATCTGTTCAAGGCTTGTGGACACTAACAATACCTGCTCTTACTCTGTCACTTCCATCTGAGGGCAGATTGTTTACATTGTTTATACTTTATCTCCAGAGAAATAGTTTTTTGAAAAATATTCGACATATAAAAAAAAGATATTTTCACTAATTTGTAGAAGTTAAACATCTCCTAAAACCTGTTGTCCTTGCTTGTTCTATGACCTAAGAACAAGCATATTCTCGGTTTTTACTACATAAGACTTTATTTCATACATTTTTGAAAGTGGCTCTGTGAAATTTCTGTAAATACATTTCTGCATTTACTTGCCCCATTTCATTGTTTTAAACAAAATATTAACATCCATTCTTACTTTTTTTTTTGGTTCCAATCCAAAATAACTTCCGTGATGCAAGAGATTTTTAGGCAAGAAGCATTTTCTGTCTGTGCCTACAGAAATACTCAACAGGTAAGACAAAGTATTCTGTTCATATTTCTGCCCCATCCCCACACACCAAATATTTTTTCAACCAGCCATTCTTTGATATTGTTGTCAGTCCAATGTTTCTCTGTCCCTCAGCTCATGAAAATCTGCTCTACTCCGTAGCTGCCGCCCTCTCTACACACAGCTGCAGTGTCAGCAGGCACAGAGGCTGCTGTTACACAGAATCTTCCCAAATTTAGTCCAATGCAGAAAGACAGACCAGTTTCCAATATGAGTAGAAACTGTGAGGGCAGCCGCAGGTTTGAAGAATTGCCTATAAATATTTAAGCACTGCCAAGGCAAGCAAACTCACTGAAACTAAAGAAGAAGGTAATCTTGTTCATGGGGTGGGGGTAGGGGTGAGAGTGGAGTTAGAAGAAGGGGAGAGAAGGAGAAAGAATGGAGAAGGAAAAGACTGGGGAGAGCTTGGGGGAGTGGGAGGGTGGAGATGAATGAAGGGCAGATAGAGGAGCAGGAAAGAAGATATCTACATTAAGGGAGTCATTTTAGGGTTGGCAAGAGGCTTGGCTCTAAAGAGGATCCCAGGTGTCCAGTGGATGTCCCCTGATAGGTCCTTAGGCAGCAGAGGAGAGGGTGTCTGAACTGTCCTTGCCCCACCATCACATTGATGATTATCTCGAATATCACCATAGAACCTTCGTACGGCAACAGATGGAAATAGAGACAGAGACCCTCATCAGAGTAACGGACTGAGCTCCCAAGGTCCAGTTGAAGAGCAGAAAGAGGGAGAAGATGAGCAAGGAAGGCAGGACCGCGAGGGGTTGGTCCACCCGCTGCAGCAGAGTGCCTGTTCTAATGGGAGCTCACCAAATCCAGTTGGACCTGGACTGAACGAGCACGTGATCAAACCGGACTCTCTGAATGAGGCTGAAAATGGGGACTGACTGAGAAGCCTTTGATAAAGGCACTGGGACTTGTTTCTACTGCACGTACTGGCCTTTTGGGACCCTAGTCTATTTGGATGCACAGCTTCCTAGGCCTGGATGTAGGTGGGAGGGCCTTGGACTTCCCACAGGGCAGGGCTCCTTGCCTTCTCTTAAAGAAGGAGGGGGAGGGAGGAGGGTGAGTGGAGAAGCGGGAGGGAAATGGGAGGAGGGGAGGAAGTGTAAATTTTTGAATGGAAAAATTTTAAAAAATTAAAAAATTTAAAAAAGAAGGTAATAAGAAGGAGGGATGGTGGGAGGGAGGGATTGATAGGAGAAAGGAGGAGGAAAAAGGAGGAACAAAGGAGAGAAGGGAAGGAAACAACAGAAGGGGAGGGGAGGAAATGGAGAAGGAAAGGATGGATGGAGAGAGGAGGGAAAGGGGGCAGAAGGAAGAAAAAGAAGGAAGCAGGAGAGAGAAGAAAGGAGGGAAGAAAAAAAGAAGTTCAGAGAGGAAGAAAAGAAAGAAGAAGGTTGAAGTGAAGGATAAAAAGAAGAGAAGGACAATGAATTTTTTACTGATAAAATAATACTTTGTTCTTGGGCAGTGAGAGAGTTGCCCAGAGGCAGAAACAGAAAAGCCTAAGACTGACTCCCTACTCCAGTAGTACAGACCTCTACAGACACCTTAGCATTGGCCTATGCATTTTCACTTCTATAGACTGAGAAAACTTTTTTCTTGCTCTCACGAGATGCAACTTTTGATTATCCTGATTTTACACAATTTAAACTTCATTATGACAGAGAAGACAAATTCTGAAATAGGAAGTAATGCAACCTCAGAGAACTGTCCGCAGCGTCTAAAGGTCAGTTTTGTAAACCTCAAGGTCAGTTGTCTGTGACCTTTGAGAGCACAGTCCTCTCAAAACTTAGAAACCATTGCTGCAGCATTCCTTTACTTCTAGGGATCGTGATATTCAGGCATCTCCCTCAAATCCACAGTGAGGAGTTAGACAATGAAGATACAGGCTGATATCTTCTGCATGTGTGCCTGTGAGTGTATGTGTATGTGTGCGTGTGTGTTTGTGTGCACACACATGTGTTCATAAATGTATTAAGTGTAAAAACAAAATAATGAAATGTTTGGGAAATGACTCAGCAAATAAAGTGCCTGCCATAGAAGCAAGAAGATTCCCAGAACCCACAAAAGCACTGGGTATGATAGAGTGTGCCTGTTACCCCAGCATGAGTTGAAATAGAGACATGTATTCTGGGGCAGGCCACTCAGTTTAGACAAAACTGAG